TCGGCGGCGCGACCTCATCGACCCTGTCGAGAGGCATCGATAGACTTGGGCGGCCGAGAATCGGATCCGTCGGGCGGGAGGGGGAGGGGGTGTCGCTTAATTACTCCAACAGGTGCGACCGGTGCGACTCGAGTGCTCGACAGTGCTCGTCCAGGCGGAAACAGTTTAAAATCAAATTTCGAGGGCGAAAGACAGAGCCGAGGACGGACCGGGCCTTCGAGGTGGGAGTCGAGTCTTTGCATCATCGAACCCGGTCTCCATCTGGAGCCGCGTTGCCATCTTCAGATTTAAAAAAAAAAAAAAAAAACGTGCGAGGAAAAACGACGTGGTGCACTGGAAAAAAAAACACATTGGATCTAGAGCCCAGACTCTTAAAACCTCGACAAGAAAAAATACTCTTGATTCAATAAGATTTAAGCTTAAATCAAGAACCTAGCCTCTTAATTTGAGCGGATTTTCTTTTGATTTAAGCTTAAATCTGCTTGTATCAAGAGTCCTTTTTCTTGTCGATGTTTTCAAGAGTCTGGACTCTAGATCCAATGTGTTTTTCTTTTTCAGTGTGGGTAAATAAGTGCCTGTAATAAGATTACCTTTATCAGGGGACACAGGGTTACATGGAGCTCTCAGGATCCAAGCGATTGTAAGAAGTCGTTGAGGAATCCTCTGATAAAGCATCAAAATAAAGACGATTTTCAAGAATTTTGCGTCAAATTCAAGAGTTTAATGTCGGAAATGGATCTTCGCTAGGGATAACGTTATTTTGCCACCATAAAAACACGAAAATGGAGGGAAAAGTGGTACAAACTTGACTAAATTCAGGGTGGCACAAATCTATTTTGCACTTTGCAAAACCTGCTCGTTTTTTCTTCTACATTTTGTACTTTGTATGATACTTGTCGTGAGCAAATCATTGAGACCCCAGGCTAGGATCTACTTCCGAAGTTGTACCGATGAATTTTACTCGAAATTCGTTAGAAACCTCCGTAAATCGCTGTTAGTCTCATGGATCCTCCTTAAGAAACACAGCTGTCCGAGGAATGATAAATACAGCCCCAACAATGTTTGAGATATGTTGGACATCTTTGCTAGACACGGAAATTCAACCCTCACGCAAAAATTGGCAACATAAGAGACGACCCGATTTTGTAGAGTTCGATCCTCTTCCCTCGGGTCCGACGGGGATGCTTGTCACCTGGCATGCCCTCGTGGCACCTGGAGGGGAACCCGGAACCAGCAGTTACGAATGTGCAGTGCAAAAATCAGCGATACTTGTACTACGCTTCCGTAACATGCGAACACGTCATAACTGAGAATTTCCCAGACTCCCGACACTATTGCGTCAGAGGCAATTTGTCCCGAGCTCCGTTTGCGGTCGAACTGCGGGCCGATTATTGAAATTGATAGACAAAGCTGTAGACAAAGGAGACAAAAGAGATATGGAGAGATTCTATTGGTGGAAGCGGGTGATTGCAATGGACAAAGGAGGTAGGTAATAGACTAAGTAACGGCAACCCACGAGAGACCCGACAGTTAGTCTATCGTTTTCTCCCTTTGTCTGGAGAAACCACCCATTTCAACCAATAGGATCGCTCCATACTCCCTATGTCTTCTTTGTCTGTAGCTTTGTCTATCGATTTCAATAATCAGTCCGCAGATGTGAATCAGTTGTTTTCAAATGGGAACGAGTCCATTTTTGCATGAGCCTTGGGTTGCATAGAGGGACATACTAGCTAAGACTCATCGAGGAATGGACCTGTTCTCTTTTCAAGACCAGTGACTCATATGCGATGGATTGCATCGATCGGGTTGGAAATTTTGTCGAAGACTTTCAAACGACTGGAGCGCATGGGTTTATAAAAAAAGAAAAGAAAAACATTTGCGATAGAAAAAAAATAAATGGGTGTAATTCGTGCTGGGTAAGAGGAGAAGTACGGATTCGATCGGAAAAGAAAAAAACTGAACCGATCGATAACGATTCGGTCGAAAAAAGCTGTTAATCGATCGGCTAACCCGTAGATCGATCGGCAAACCCGAGCACTTCTGATTAGCAGAAAATGATTTCTGATTTTTCTTTCTGAGCAGAATTGATCTAAAATTTTTTTCTTTAAACAATGTTTTTGATAAACAGTTGGAAATTGATTAGTTGCCTAATTGTTAATTTAAATCTAAACTGTATATTAATTTAATCGTTCGGTTGAAAACACCTTGAATGATCGAAGCCGCTGCCGCTCGGATCACAATTTTTCGATCGAATCGACACAGGTTTTTCGATAATTCGTCGATCGGTTCAAGTTTTTACTTTTCGATTGATTCTCATTGATTGCATCCGTATCAGGGTGTCTACTAAATTTTCATTTTGGATTTTCCGGATATTTTACTTGGATGGAATTTCCTGATTTTTCATGCGAATAAATTGCCACTCGTTTGGTTTTACAAGCCATGATGAATCAAATTTTTCATAAGTACTGAACTGCATGTAGTTGATAAATGCTTGACGCACCAGTAATTTCCTGATTCGTGACCGATTTTCCTGATTTTTCCAGGTGACATTCACTTTCCTGCTATTTATCCGGTTTTTACTGACGAAAGACACCCTGCGTGCCCTCCGTGTAAAAGATCCTTCTTCGTGGCGAAGAGCGTTACAACTTGAAAAATGTAATAAGTAGTGAATTTTCTACGGAAAATACATAAATAGTGAACACGGAAATTGTTTTGGTGTATTTTCCGAAAATACACCAAAATTTGCGGAAGAATTAGATGAAGTAAAAAAGGCGAAGATCTTCATAGCGCAGCAGTGCAAAGGCTCTCAAGCGGCGCTAGATCGTCATGATCCTGGAATGCGATCATCGCAATCGTTAATCAATGTCGGTAATTATCAACATTTATTGACGATCGATTCGAGCCGACGGAAACACCAACCCTCCGCCGCCGTTGCCAGGTCTCAAGCAAATAGGTGACTTTAAGACTCCTAATCACAGCCTACGATTTACGAACTTCAACAGCCCTTTTTCCTAGGTATTCATCTTTTTCCTCTGTCGTATTTTCAGCAATATCGTCCACTTTTGGCCAAAGTATCTCAAGCGCCATTAACGCTTAGACGCATGCCTCCGTGCTGGGGCAAACGCCGTGTGAGCATTCCAATGATGCCAAATTTTCTCTCAGTAAGTATTTTTTTTTACGAAAGTTGTGAATACGAAATTTCCAGTCGGCCTCCTATGGCGTAGTGGTTGTAGCGCTAGCTCTATGATCTGATGGTTCCGGGTTCGATTCCCGGCCAGGCGACCCGAGTTTGATGGTCTTAAACAATGGTTGCCCGGGACTGGTTGTGAGAACGGAGGGAAATTGAACTAAAGCGCAAAGATTAGCCCTTGTGGGCTGTTTGAAGTAGGGGAAAAAAAAAAAAAAATACTTTAGGTAGATCTTGAAAAATCGGAAGAAAAATATTTTCAAATTTTCCCGAAAATTGATGTTCTGATAAAGGATGTTTGGCATCTTCTGAAGGCTCATGCAGCATTCCTCCTTAGCACGTCAATACATATGTTGTTGAACATATTATAGGATTTTACTGTTTACTTCACAAGTACTTTCGCACCAACTTTCAGGAAAATTTCAGAGATTATTTTTGACGATAAAAGAAATAATGTGTAAAATTGTCGTATGATTATGTTCTTTGGTTTTTCCCTAAAAAATTTGGCAAGTTTGAAAATTTGCCAACATGGTCCTAAGCACAAAAAGCGCTTGTGATATTTTGGTCGGAGGTTGATGATACTTTATGTTGAAATTTGAAAAGACAGAGGAAGAAAGTAGACAGAGAAATAAAAAAACTTGACTGACACTGAATGGCTTTCCTTGCAGTGTCATGGAAAAAACACTGGCTACTGACCCGGGAAACCATGAGCCTGCTCTAATGAACATTCATGACTCGTACGAATACGATTGCTGAAGGAAAAACTGAGAGGCGTAACTGTTCTTTTCTCTATCGTTCAGTACTTACAATTGTAACAAATCCTTCAGAGACTACTGAATACTGTCTAAATGCTGTTCCAAAGAGTTACATTATCAACCTGAATAATTTAGGAGATAAAATCTAAATGACTGATGCCCATCATTAGAAAGCTGTCTGCGCTACGTGGCTTTTAAACAGCCTAGGACCAAAATTAAAGAGAGAAATGAAAGGATTTTAAATAAATTAAATTCATCATTCTGCAGAGCAACAGAACCAAAAATTAAGGTTTCATGTTTTCACTGAGACTAAACTGACAGTCCAGTAGGCCAATTATTGAGAGTTTAAAGCAGCTTTATAAGACATCACAATGCGTTATACTTAAGCTTCATAAAGATGGGGCTATGTTTAAACTAATTGCGCCAATATGGTTTCAGTCATCAGACCGCAGTAATGTAGATCTACTAAAACTTGTCCAAAGACCAAGGATTGATGATGGTAAGGGGAGTAATTAACCTAACAGGGTTGTTTTGGAGGTTCAAATCTAAACCTTCTCTGCTTAGAGAAAACTAATGTATTGGCCCAACAACTAATACAAAATACTGGACTCAGGAAATAAGTTATATTCTGCATATGATAGACAGGTGTTGGAGAAGTGACTATCAAAATGCACTTAGTGCAGTTGGGGATAACCTGATGCTAAAGGGGTGGGTGCATCTCGGAAGAACCGAGCTTGATCATGGAGGTAAGCCTAACAGCCGACCAAACCAACTAAAGAAGCATTGATCATGTCAGCGACCACAGGCCCAAGCTCAGTACCGCTTTATGTAAGTAAGTGATTCTTTTGGGATTCATGTCAGACCTTTAAGTCATGGGGCTTGCTTGATGTGTCAGAGGGGTAGATCCCTTGCAAGGGAAGTATCAATGGTAAATAGCCTCTTGCTGCAAATTGAGATCTGCGATTATAAGATAACAATTCTTGATCCTGTAAATAAAATCTGCATCAGAGAAGTGGTTCAAATTTAGAGAGAAGGAACTAAGCCCCACGACAACTTACCTCATGATGAAAAAAGAAGCACGTTCTCTGAAGAAATCATGAATAAACAAATCCAGAAAAGAGGGTAAGTAGAAGTTGGTTGAGCACTAACACTGAAATTCCTCAAATTCGGATGCACCACACTTCACACACGAACGCACGAGTCAAACACATTTCTCCAATAACACAATTCACAAAAAATATTCGCATAACATCTCGGAACACAATTCACCGATCAGACGCCATTTACAATAATAAAATAAATGGGATTTTTCAGTAACCAACCAACAGCAACACAGCTGCCCGTGCACGGTTGTTGCTACTGCAGCAGAAAATTCCCTTCTGTCTCATGGCGAGGGATATTTCGACACGAGTGCCCTACTGCTCTGGAAGCGCGCAATATTTGAATTTGCGGACTTGATTTGAACGAGCGCATATCCCGGAACGAAAAGAAATAAATCTATTCAAGTGATTGATTCTTTTTTACTACGATTCTGTCCATTTTCTTCTTCAAACTTGTAAGTAGGTAAAACACTGTTTTTCATTACAAATGAGTTCACTAATGAGAGCAAAAGATAAGCATTGATCATACCTACTTATTTATTACCTCGGCTCTCAAAAAATTACAAAAAGTACCTGTGAGATCCTTTTCTTGAAGTTTTGAGTAACTGCACCTACCCCACAAATTTTGAACATTTTCTTGTAGGTTTTATCTAACACAAAGTATACGATTGCAAGCACCTCCAAAGAGCAATACAGCCCTTTTATGTATTGGGTGCATTTACAAATTGCGAAAAGATGACAGGTTTTTTCATTGCACAAAACACTAATTTTACAGAAACCATGTCATTTTCTGTGTAGTGCTGGGCTGGTACACAGAACAGACCTGTCTTTGGCTCGCCGAGCAAAATTTTTAAGAGACCAAAAATGGGTAAGTGAGAATAGAAGCATCCCTTCCTCCTATATTTTAATGCAACGCAACGTCAGAAGTACCTCCGATGAAACATACATACAGGGGCGTATGGAGAGGGGGAACACCAGGAAAAATCCCAGTGGGCCAATTGATATTCAGGGTAGTTCTGGGCCAGTTCATCTCTTTCGTAGTGCAAAAAACGACTGGAATAGGCTGGTTACTTTTTTGGTTCCAGTCCGCTCTGGTTTATAAACTTACACCTCCAAATTTAAGTGCAAATTTTGACCGACTGGTTAAATTGGTGACTAATTAGGAGATGCTGATATCTTTCCCAAGCGTCAAAGTGCAATGGAATCAATATGAGTTTCGTATGTGCATACATTTACAATATGGTGATCATATTGACAGTGTGGAATGACATCCATGTGGAGGGAGGAGGGAGGAGGGATCTTTTGAATTAGTTTTACCTTTTGGCAGGATAGTTACAATTAGGAGAAATTTAGAATATGCTTTTTTAAATTTTTCAATGAGTTAAACGTCTTGGAGAGAGCCCTCTATTTCAATCAATTCTGTTCATTTTCCTCTTAATTTTAGTTATTCATTCATACTTTGTCTTTCTTCTGCATCTACAATTTCACTTATTAGAGAGAATATTCACTAAGATATTCACTAAGCTCATCACTTTTTTCAACGTCTTGGAGAGAGCCCTCTACTTCAATAAATTCTGTTTATTTTCCTCTTAATTTAACAATTAATTAAGGTACCACTTCCTCTAGTTATTCATTCATTGTCTTTATTCTGCATCTACAATTTTACTTTTTGTGTTGTAAATTTTTCTCTTTCTATTGAGCCTTAAAAATATTATTCTTCAGTTCTGTCAGGCTATGCCAACCATTGTGTATTTATTTTTTTGTTGTTTATTTTATTTGGTTTAGTAACATATGCCACACAAGCTTACTTTTGGCATATGGAGCTGTTTTATTGTACTTATGTAAATTTAAATTTTTGAAATAAATAAATCTTGAAATCTTGAAAGGTATCTATATATTGGGTCCATTCTGAGGCATCCACATAGAGAAGGTTTCTATGGAATCTTCAGTTTTTCTTATGAAGACCATGACACCCGAATGGCAGTATTTTCAAACGGATTTAAAATGGAGAACTGAGAATGGAAGATGGATTTACACATGGATTCAATATTGATACCATTTCATTGCGACTCAAAGGTTTTCTTGCGACTAACCGGGGCCAAATAAGTCGGAACAAAAAGACTGCATTACCTCCTAATCATCAGACTTCATGTCATTTTAGTCTTCGTCAAATCAACAAACAAGGAATTTTGATACTTAGCCTACTCAAAAATCGAGGGTGGTCTTTCCTTAGGGAATTCTAGTCTCAAGAAGGAAACATGTCAGAGAGAGAAATCATTGACCCTAATTAAGGTAGGACAGAAAAAAATAAGAAAACAAAATATAAAGAAAAAAATTGTATAATTCAACAAATAAAATATACAGATCAACAAATTTAACAACTTAAAATATTGAACAAATAAAATTTTCAACAAAAATGTCTATATCTAGTCCTAATTTTAAGCTGCTAAAATATTCTGAACAGGGACCTATTGATCGGCCTTCACATTAGGTCAACATTTAGCAAACGTGATGTGATAGCATTGCAACTTTATATAATTTTGACTTGAATTTATTTAATAATGATAATTATAAAAAAATTTCTTTTGAAGTTATGATGAAGATTTTTTAAACTAGCTCATCACACATCATTGTGTAAACATTAAATTTGCTTGTGAGTAAAAAGAAACCCTTGAATTTCATCAGACACAACCTTTGTGGTGCATGGTACCATTTAAAGAGATCACAATGATTCAACTTCGAAAATAAAATAAAATTTTAACTTGTGTGCAGCAAAAGTCGGAAGTAAGTCACTAATTGAGGAGCTTGGAGAACAAGGCGCATAAGTGCAGGTTTTGAAAAAATTGATATATTAATCATTTTAAGTAAAGTAAAACTACTCTTAATGCATGTTCTGTGAAAAAAATGATCCCTAATCCCAATTTATACGCGTTAAAAAGTTAGTTTGAACTTTCTTTCTGCCATAAGGATCCATGTAATTTCAAAACTTCAAACATATATTTCTTGAAATAGCAAAAACTGCACTTATGCGCAGTATCTTCCAAGCCCCTCAATTTATTTTCTACAAGATTTCCTACAGAAGCTGAATGAATTTATTTAAAACATTTGTGAGATTTTAGATTTAGTAAATTGTGAAAACTTGGGTAATTCTGAGAGGGGGCTACTTGGGAAGACAAAAATTAGATGGTTAGTTCACCTCAATATTTCACGTACTCACTAGACACTACATTGTGTTTAGAGAACTGAAGCTTTATGCAAAAGCAGGTACATTTCACAGATACACTGGTTTCAAAATAGGTCTGATAGAGTGAATCCATCTCACTTCCATCAAGTTCCATCTTTCACTTTCTTCATAAACATGAACACTCAACAATATTTAACGACTGCTGTTCCCAGTCAAATGACATCTTAATTTTAAGGAGTTGGTATTAAAATTATAAAATTTAACTAATAACCACCTATTCTGGCTTCGGGCTTTAAAAGCCTTATTTTGCTTTTCTTTGAACTTGATTGAGGACTCAACTTAATATAACTGCAATACTGGTTACGACTGTCAATAAAACAGCATTCAGACGGACATTCCAATTGTTGAATAATACTAGCTAGAACAATCATTCAATCAAACACAAAATGGNNGGGGGGGGGGGGGAATTCTCTAGAAGAATGTATGTACTTATTGATTTTTGACTGAAAAATATTTAAATATTCTGTGGGTTTTGAGATGGTAAGATGGAAATTTCGTTTCCTTGTGTTGAACTACAACCGCGTAACACACAAAGAGATGGAAATTCTTTCTTTGCTGTGAGCACAGTCAAGGAATGAAAAAAAGTAATTTCCAAAGTATGGGGAAATAAAATTATGCATCAACACCTACGTTAGTCGGAATTTCCTCTTACTGTAAGAGTAATTAATGAAGTAAAAGAGCTTGTTCTGTTTTCATACTCAGCATAGTTTAAATGAGCCAAACTAAGCTTAGAGGCTCCAAGTGTATTGCAATGCTATCAAAATGATGCTCCTTCTTTTTTTCGAGAGAAAACTTAAAAACAGTGCAGATGTATGAAATTTAAGAAATAATTTTCTACTATAACGTGGCAGCTATGTCATGTAAAGTAGACTGCAGTCGATCACCAAACATTGCTTGCAAAAATACATTGATTCAAAACGATATTTCAAATGGTGTATTGTAATTCGTAGGAAATAATATCTCTCATTTTGATTTATTTGGCTGAGGTGTCCTTCCAAAGAGACACATTATATATATATATATATATTTTTTTAGGACTCATCTGAGTGTGTTCACACGGTAGCACTTGCACTCCAAGATAAATTCACGAAGAAAGCAGTCATAGTTAGCTAATCAATCGACTCGACTTTCAACTCTGCTGAGCGAATACTTAATACTGCTTTTTTTCATCAGACACAGTTGAATGACGAGTGTCCAAACAATTTACTCAGAAAAATTCCCATCCTGCAACTGTCAAGTATTGCATTATAAAAATGTTGCAAAAAAATTGCAGAGACATTAATTTTAATGGTAATATTGTGAAAACATTTTTGCAACCAACAACTTTTTGCCGGGTAAGTTGGGACAAGAGATGGGCAAAATTACGACAAGAAACAAAGTAATTACTGCGCAAATGGCTCTTTGGGACCAGATCTCAAAAGTTTGAACCTCTTATCTAGAGAAATATTACTTTGCAAGACATTATAACAAAAGGATTGTATTTTAATTCTCATGATCTCAAGTAAGAAAGTGGCTGCACATTTTTGGAAAAATTGCGGTGCACTTGGTTTTTTCTACTAAGATCCATCCAAAATATAAAATTACTGACAGTTGGAATAAAGATACAGATAGGCATGTCAGTTTCCAAAATTTGTACAACAATACTTTTTCTGATACGTGAAAAAATAAACGAAATAAACTTTAAGAAATAGGGCAGGGACTGATTTGCCATTTCTTACAATTTGTACGGTAATGCAAGCTGCTCTGAGTACTTCCTCTTTTTTTATGACAACCGTGGCAGATTGAGAGACGAGTTGCTGGAATTACAGAAAACTGTAGAAACTTTACAGAAAGAAGCATGCTCATTTTTAACACCGGGAAAGTATCATTTTTAAATAAAATTTGTATAAAAAATATTGAAAATTAATTTTAGTGATATTGAATGGTAATTAGAATCACGTTATAAAAATTCATCCACCGGTGCTTATAGTTAATGTCCAATATGATAAAAAAAATCCAAAAAAAAACAGGGTAAAGGTGTGTGAAACGATTGTGTGACAAACAGATGGCACAACTTTACATTGAAAAGATACTACAGCCATTAAACCATATGGGTGTGCATCATGCTACCTCCCACCTCCACTTACATCAGTTTCATTGCAAATCTACTTGTTCGAATAATTTTTCAGGATTTTTCAAACAACAAAAAAAATAATTTTATGTATTCATTGTTTTATCTTTTTTGATGCAATGAATGCAAGAGGATTTTGCAAATTGTCACCTATGGAGGTAAAATAAATTCAATAAGTGGTAAAATTGTACTGAAACCTGAATTCAGGAGATTTTAACGATAGACCACTAAACTAAGTATGAATTTGAGCATTTTGATGTGTTCCCTATTCAAAATTCCACAAAGAACACAAATGGCGCATCAAAACTTACTAAAATGTACTTCTTACCAAGGTATTAACGTTTCTATTTAGCAATATTACGAAAAATTTGAAAACCCCCCTTACATGGAGAAACTAGAGTCTAATTGAATCAAATCCGGCACTAAATCAGTTTTGGCAGGCTTCTCAATACACAATGTTCCGTCCTGCCCTATGCTGTTTACTGTGTGAACAACATGCAATACCTAAGCCGCAGCGCCGAGACTGAGGTTATCATGCTTTCTTACTGTAAAGACTGTCACGGACAGATTAAGTACGAATTTGTCATGAGTCAGAAGTTGGAATTCATGCACTCAAAAACGTTAATAGCTTTGTTGGGAGGTACTTTCAGTAATTTTCGTTGTACAAATCGTGTTTCTTGCGAAATTTTGAAGACAAAACATAAGCCATAGTGCTTAATTTCCTTCCTTGCCTCGTGGTCCATTGATGTGCAACTTAAAATCCTTTAGTGAAGATGCTGAGGGTAAAATGCAGATGGGAAGCATATGCAGCACAAGATTCAAATTCGAAGAACAATTGGACTAATTTTGTCTTCTTTGAGAAGACCATGAAGACAATGAAAAAACATCCAACAAGTTTATAACACCAGTACAAAAATCAAGACTTCCTTTAAAACAAGGAAATATACGAAACTTATTGCTTTAAAAAGCAGATTTTCATTTCATTATTGCCTTTTTCACAAAAAGAAAAAGGAAAAAGAAAAGTCGTAACATCAATTTACTTTCTACTTATCTCTTTTATGAAAGAGAGGTATGAAAGTAGTATCAATATATTAATAAGGATCTTTATCACCGGTAGTGTAGTAAAATACAGGACTCAGGAGGAAACGCTGCTAGGCAAGAACTTTTTCAGAGAGAGTGAGCATGACAAAACTTCCAAGGATGAACAAGCTTGCAGGAATTGAGGATAGTAACCGATACCTTTCATCTGAAACAGACCAGAAAAAATAAATAGAATTCCTAGTTTTAATTTATTAAACAATTTCTATTTAAAAATATCTTAAATACTACAAGAAATATACGCCTCGAATCTATGTACATAAATTGAATTTAAAAAAGTATTAAATAAAAACCAAAGTGACATTAGTGAATGCAGATTATCGAAAAGACTAGGAGTTTTGGAACTCTCCGTCTTTGGTATACAACTCCTGTCGAAAATTTTTAATTAGACCTGAAAAAGAGGAGTTTTCAAACATAATGGGGTCAGGAAAAGGGAGCGACATTTTGAACATTTTTGAAAATATGAGATAAACCACGGTATAGAGTAGATAATTCTGTCCAAGACATATCCAAATATTTAAGAAGTTCCTCTTTCAGAGCATTTCAAAGTTACTGTGAGAAAAGTTGAAAAATAAAAGCGCAATTTAAATTGTGAGGCAATTTCATCAGGAAAAAATAACTTCAACATTGATAAAAAAGAACTTTTGCTCACAAAAAGACTATCATAATTCGTTACTTGCGCTTGGCAATAAAACGAGCAGACAGTGCTGTTCAGCTGTGCAATGAAATTTTAAGCATTCTGCTGATTTCAAGACTCATGCTTTATTTTTGACACTGATTCAATTTTTCATACTAAAAATAGCGTGCAATTTAAACTGCTGGGTCTTGAGACTTTAAAGGGCATTCAGTGAAAAAACAAAAAATTTCGACCTGCATTACAAGTTTTGCTGTTCTTAAAATGTAAGTTTTCATTAGAGGGCTCCTCCTGCCGGACTTCATCTCAAGAAAGGAAACATTTTCTGGAATTTCTATTTTTTCAAAATTTGACCTTATTTTTAGATAAGTGAATAACATATGCTTCCTGCAAATTAATTAACAAACAATCTTAATACAATCTTCTGTAGAGAGTTTTTTGCTTTGTCAGAACAAAGCACGAAGAAAAAATGTTGGAAGTTCAGTCTTCAGGTAGAGCTGCGCTATTAGAGTTTACAAAATTTCACGAAGTTTTTCTTTTTAATGAGGGTTTTACTTGTCAAACCTTATAGTCATTGAGCTAAACTCACATTGAGAAGAAAAAAAATTCCCCGATAGACTCCAATAGAACACCCCTAGACTACAGAAAAAAATAAATAAGTAAATAAAAATAAAATTTCATAGCCACCATGTGGGAGAATTTTTTTTCATGCAAATAGCGATATAAAAGGAGGAAATTTTCTATGATATCTCTGCGGTTAAATTCATCTTGAAAAAGTTGATTTGTTTTTAATAAAAACGGAAACTATGAGACAGAGCCATATTCTTCTGAAAATTTTAAATCATAACTTCAGAAAATAGCTGCTACAAACTCAGTCAATACATTTGAGGAGGTGCAAGAGTCTCTGCAAATGTTTTGGTTCAGAAACTGCTCATTTAAAGTATTAAAAACGTACTTATCAATTCCCTCTTCATGGAAATTGATTTATTCTAAAATTCAGAGTAAAACTTCGCAACAAAATCTATTTTTTATTGTATTTCTTAGAACTTATAGGAGTTATGAGTTTTGTTTTCTAACCACTGCTGAGGTGAAGGAGAAAAAAATCTTACTAAATTTCCTAGGTTTATTATTAACAGCTAATTCAAGTCCTAGATGAGGGGAAGAACGACAAGGAATTTTGAAAAAATCATTTAATTTAAGTTGTGGCATTACTGAATAAAGGTAATGATGAACTGATTTAGCAGCTGCAGAGTTTATCTACTACCCTGCAATAAATATCTTAAGATAAATAGATTCTGACAACACAGACTTTTGATTTCATAAAATTTCTTCCACTACTAGTGGCTCGATGAAAAGTTGAGGTTTCATGACATGACAACAGAGCACCTGCTTGTGTTACATGAGGTTGATTAAATACTTGATTAATAAACCCTTGAGTCTTAATGCCATTTTTGAATCTGTGAGTCTAGACAAAGCAATCGTTTTCTTCTAATAAATTGGTCTGATGATGCTTGGCGATGTTACCTGTCTTGCTTTATATTCAAGTTGCAGATTCTCATCTGATTCGAGAAACCTCTACGATATATAAAGCCAAAGGATTTTATTATTTTTTATTCTTCCATCTCAATCGTAAATTTTATTCCAGAATTCATCCTCTTATTTTTTCTCTTTTAAATATTTTCATCGCAGTAATTTTTTTTCAACCAAGCTGTATTGTAAAATGACGTATTGGTAATGGTATTGACGACTATTGATAAAAGGCAGAAATTCAGCAAGCTAATCAAATAAGCCATATTATTTCATTTCAATCTTTCAAAGTGATAATTTTGAGCTACGTTTTTAGAGGCAGATCGATTGTGAACAAGATATTGTAAAACAAAAAATATTTACAAAATATCCTTGTTTAAGGCTTAAAGAGGAAAGGAGTTTCTCATCATTCGATTAATTAGTTTAAAAGCAAATATCAGACTACGGCTAGTACAAACAAGGAGAGCAAAAAGTGCATGTGAAAAGTTAAAACAGATCAGTTTATTTCAAAAGAATCACAAAATACATTATAATATTATAAAGGTCAAAAGTGACTGTTCACACTGAATAGGTAAAAAAAAAATAAAAAATAAAAAATTCAGGAGACTAAAAATTTGAATTTGAATTTTGATTTTCAACAAGAACTAAAGAGGTAGGTCGAAAAAGACCGTCATAAAAAGGGAACAAAAGAATTTCAAAAAAAGGAATAATAACAGTGATAACAAGAGACTTGACAATATTCCACCGAATTAATTACTTTGTTCTTATTTTTTTATCATTTATTATTGTTTTTATTTTTTTTTTTTTTCATTTTTATTTTTACTCTTTTTTTGGTATCAACGACAGGGAAAATCAGTTCAACTGAACATGTTACGATGTTTGAAGAAATAATAATGAAGAGAGTTTATTCCATCAAAAGGCGTCATTCCCTCTTGTAATTGAAAATACTTTTTACACAGCGATCTTATAAAGGCAAAAGCTCACTCTTCAAACACAGTTTACTACCAAAGAAAGCCTTACAGGCAAACATCATAGTATGACCACATCATGACATTTCATTTGTATGAGCAAAATGGTTGCATACTTAACTCCTACTCAAAGTTTTCCAGGTAGTGTCAGTAAGATAGATTTTTCCAAAATTGATCATTTTTTTCTTTTTTTTTTAATTTGATTTTTCAATTTTTTTGTTTGGTTTCTTTAAAGTATGGATGAAAATATAAACCTAAGGAGACCCTAACACAGCAAAGCTTGTGAAATGTGATAAAGCACTGGTGTTGTAGTGTACGTGTCAGCTCCGAAAACATGCATGAACTCAAGCTCAAAAATCAATGGCAAGAGTGTTGAAATACTGTTCAGAGAGCTAAGAATTACACTTTTGAAAGGAGAGCACGCAAACAAAGCCACAAATCAAAAACAATACAAGTTGCATGCTGCGCAAAAATCAACTACTAAACTAACTACTAACTAAAAATCACAACACTCATAATACTTAATGAGATAGAGATGAAAAAAAAGAAAAAAAGGAAAAAAAAAATTATCACATTAAGTAACTTTCAGCCAATGCAAAAATGTGCGCTTAAAAACGAGCAAAAACTTTAGAGGGCAAATCAGCATGGTAATTGATGGGAAACAAAAAACAACAACAAACAAAGAGAATAAACAGAAAGAAATCCGAGAGAACAACCAAAGGAAAGCTATTGGATGCTGATTTCCAATGATAAGATCAAGAATGTAAAAGTTCAAGATAATTGTTTGACTAGGTGCATTGTTAGCTACTCCCAGTGCTCTCTTCAACAAATTCTTCCGATTTATTCAAAACTTCCAAAAATTATCATGCTAATCACATCTATTCATTGATGCACATGTTTTAATTGCCACACGCACAAATGCTTCAGTGTTTTTCAAAAACAAACAAGCACAGCTAGATAAACTAGTTACATCATCTAGGTCGTTAAATAATTAAGAATAAAATTAGAATCTCAAAGAGGAAATTCTGTATGAAAATATTGTCAAGTTGGAAATAATTAAGAAAGTAAAATCAAAACTGAAATTCAAATTCAACACCTAATGATAATCGAATAACTTAAATTAAAGAACACATAAAAAGTTCCGGACTTTTTCTTCAGATTACCACTACTTTTCCTAGGAGCAAGATGCACGGATAGAAAAAGATACTGTCACAACTCCTCAAACAAAATATTTTAGGGAGCGTTCAAACACGACTCGTACTCATGACACATTACAAGGAAGCAGAGGCAATAACATTCTCACTTTTACATCTTTCTGTTTCTGAATAATAAAAATTTGAACCAAAAACTAAGCAATGGTTTGAGGAGATATAAACATTGATTGGTTAAAGAAAAAATGGGCAAAATGCATAATAATTTCTCGCAACTAGTATATCTATTTATTTTAACAGTATTCGAAACCATAGGAGCCTACAAATAAATAGATAACATGGGAAAATAGGCAAATAATCAATCGATGTCCCTTGAATTCTTCAATTTTAGGACTAAGAAACCATTAAACAGTAAAATAATACTGCTACAGTAAATTAATTATAAATCGAGAATCAGAGAACTATAAAATAAAGTAGGTGGCCATCAGTCTCTATAAGTTGCACCAAAACTTTGAAAACGAAAGAAAATTCTACGGATTTTTAAAATTAAGTAGAGAAATGCTTAGCACATAGAGCTTCCCCTAATTTTTTTAAAGGAGAAAAGTCTTAGACAAGTATCAGAGCCTATAGCAAATTTAACAACTAGGAAAAATAAAGTAGTTTCGGAGAGTTTCGCTTCATTAATAAGGAACTAAAGCTTGATGGGATTTTGTCAAATTCCAGTGAATTATTAAAGATAAATAGGATATCTTGACCAAAACTACCTGCTGTGATGGCCTAGGACAAAGATATCATCATTGTGACAGCTTTTAATGTGAGCTGCGAGAATATATTTCGCCGGGAAAATATGAGGTTTCTCTAAATTGGAGTCAACTTGGGCGAGGCTCCCTTCAAAGTTGGTTATTTTTGCCTTTTCAAGAATATCGGTCAATAGATTTTCTTTATTCTCAAAAATATCTTCAAACAGCTCTTCTGTTATACCATTTTCATTGATATCTTTTTTATCAACAACCTCAATTAATAAATTGTTGCTTACAGAATTTCCTATCAAAATATTTTGGTCGAGGCAAGTTTCTCTGAGGATATTCGAGTCTAAGGAGGTTTCTTTCAAAGTGTTTTGATTTTCGTCTGGTTCAAAGTTTTGGCTGAAAACACGGTTTGCAGGGAGTATCTCGATATTGCTAATATCTTTGGCGTGCGAGTGCTTTTCACCAAAGCTTGGTTTATCCGCCATTTTGAACGGGACATTGCTGTAGTTTTCTTTATCGTAATTATTAATTTTCTTAACACTAAATTCGTGATTGGCGGTGAGGCAGTTCTCCTCATTCCCATAACTAGGAGGCTTATTGAAGAGATTGATTTCACTAGATCTAACGTTGTCAGAATTAACACAGTATTTTTCAGCCAGGGCTGAACTCTTGCAAACGTTAGTGTGACTATCAGAGTCATTACCTGTCATTACATCGGACTTCTTAGGCATGGCCCAGCCAAGACTTCTGTGGACTGCCATTTTCCATTTTGTGTACCTCAGATTTCGTTCTGAAACAGAACACAAGCAAACTTTTCTTTACATTCGGTCAAAGGACGAGTATCTTTTAATTTAAACTTTTAATTCGAAAATTGAAATTAATCGTTATCAATAGTTATAGATTTGCAGGAGTAAGAATTAGTCATCATCATGCATACATTTGCTTCAACATAATCCTCAGAATATTTGAAGATATTTATATTAGGTAGAATCTACAAAAGGTAGAGGTTTTTACATGTAACAGGACAAGATCTTGATGACAATATTGCCCCACTCACTGCTGATATTGAAAACCACACTTGTGAAATGAATTAAGTATTATAATTGACTAATTTATTGATTATAGTATTAAAAATTTGAAAGTTTCTCCAAGAGAAAACGGGACTATTTTGGTATCAATCACTCGGTGTTCAGGTTTAATATCGATCGCTTGGCCCCGTTTTTTAAGGGCGGCAAAATAGCAGATGTAGCCACTAAATCAGCCATTAATTACGAGTAATTTTTAGGCCTTCCATTGTATTCATATGCGATACAGTCCTCAAGCTATGAATTCAATCAAAACAAAGTTGATTAGATTTCAATCCAGTTTTCTTTGGATGGTGAGCAGATGGAAAACTGTGATTTGTTGTCTGGTAGCGGAGCATTGACGCCAATAGAGCCTTTCAAACTTACAGCTGGGTTCTACAGGACCAAAAGTATTAAACAAACAAAGAGGGGAAAAAAGGTGTGCTCACCTTCATGAGATATAGACGGAAGGAAAGTATCTTCTAGAGAGGCATCAGAACCACTGTTGGCACTTAGATTTTCAAGGTCCCAGACATCAATGCCGGCAGCTGATGCAGCCATGTATGCAACTCCTAAAGCTGTGATGTCCTTCTTATTATTTCGTTCTGTTTCAAAAGAAAAATAAATCCATCATAAAAAAAATGTGACAAAGGACAAGATATTATTAAGACACTCAAAATGCAAATTTCAATTTTTTTTTACTTTTAATTTTCTGCTCTTATTGTTGAAGAGGTGCACTTAATTCTGCTTCCACAATAACGGTATCAGATTTATTCTCATTGCGCTACAAAAATGCTGTGTTCACTGAATCTGGATTAATCTAACTAAGAGAGTTAGACCAAGCTGTTGTTCGGTAAGAAATTCTTTCGCACCATTTTGGTAAGTCCATCATTGAAAAATGTAACTTGACGTGCTTGGTGCTTGACAGTGTACAACTTTTGGAGAAAAACGAATCCTTCTATCTTAGGGCTGCCATAATTTCTTCATCTCCAAATTTCTTTTATTTTTCCTAACTATTTTTGCTTTCCCCTAACTTCAAAATTTACGAATTCCCTGACTTTCCCTAGCCTTTGAACAACGTTTCATTCTTTTTTTTAAAAACAAATTCAATTCTTTTTGAAGAAAATTATGCTGACTTTTGCTAAACTTTGGACAAAATTTCTCTATTTAGAGATCAACTTATGGAAAAAGGCATTCAGCATCTGCTTAAGAAATGACAAGCCTTAAAAATGATCAGGAGCGGTAAACAGTATGAAGATCAGTAATATGTTTTAGTTAGTAGTAGATGCGTCAGATTTCCTGACTTTTCCCACGAATTCCCTTACTTTCCCTGATTTTCCTAACTGACGGCAACCCTGTAACTATATCAATAACAAGGTCTGCATTTAATTTGAAGCTCATCTGGTATGATGAAAATTAAGATAGGTACCATATTCTATGTGTAATCTACCGAAAAAATAAGATGTCACGGAGGATACTGAGTATTGTGTACATATTGAGAAATGGAAAAATTGAAAAAATTACTTACGGACAGGAATGCCTGAGATATCAGCTTGCAACTGCATGAGAAGCCTGTTTGTTGTCATTTGACCATCAACATGAAGTGTAGAGAGAGGAAAACCACAATCACGATGCATTGCTTCTAGAATATCTCTCGTTTGGTAACACACAGCTTCCAGAGCTGCTCGGATGATGTGGCCTTTGGTTGTGAATTGAGTAAGTCCACAAAGAATTCTGAAAAAATAAACGGAATGAAGTAAGCATTACATTCCATACAAAAACGCACCCTGACAGGATTATGCGAAGAGTAAATAATCATTTTCAAACTTGGATTATATCTTGCAACAAGGAGCTATTCTTTCTGTCTAACTTCCAGCTCCTACACAAACTAATTTAACTAACAGCAATATAAGGATAAGTGTTCTTGACCTTTTGTATTGGATTGTTTGGTCTACCTTAACAAATTAGTAGGATAAAAAATTAATGGAAACTCTTACCCTCTGGCATCTTTTCGCCAATAAGGCGCATAAAGTCCAGCGAATGCAGGTACAAAGTAAACATCACCAGTTGTTTTAACAGCTTCTGCTAGATCTTCAGCCTCTTCGTTGTCTTTCATCATATTCAGGTTGTCTCGCAGCCATTTAAGAGCGGTTCCAGCAACAGCAACAGAGCCTTCCAAAGCATAGACAGGCCGTTTATCACGACCGTGTTGAAATGCAACTGTGGTAACTAAACCTTGACTAGAATGGACTCTCTGTGAGAAAACAAAACAAGACCAAAAAAACAATTATACAAAAGAAAAATATTTTCTTCTAAAAAATAACTTCAAAATTAAAAAAATTAAACCTTTGCCAAATTTTAAATGTGAGCATTTGTACTTGAATTACATTGATTCACAAATATCAATGGCTAAATTTGAAAAATGTCTAACTCAGGTCGCAATATTTCAAGTTTTTGCTCATATTTTACTTTTTCAAAAAGAAATTGATCAACAGTTTCTTTAGAAATTTTCTAAGAATTGTCTTCAAACTTTCATTATAAAATAACACTAAATTACAAAAAAACTTGTTGATTAGTTCTCCTTGAAGGAAATAAAACATAGTCAGAGATTTTTATACATTACAGTGAAGAGAAACATTTTTGAATTTAGTCATCAATATGATCTTCCTCGTTAGATTTACGTTTACATTTGGTTTATTTTTCCGCAGGACTAATTTTTTATCAATTTTAGGTGGTTCAGGCCTGGATTTCTTAACATCAAAGTTTACTTTAAATGCTTAAGTCTTTGTAAATTGTCATTGCAAATCTACCTCGCATTTTTTTTTTTGGTAATGTTTGAACACATGATCCTCAGAAATTTTTCAATTCATCACTTATCAGACAAGGGTGTTTTGTTACTGAGAAAGCAGCAGTGTGCAATAAAATATATTTGAAAAATGGAAAACTTGACGAAAAAATATTTTCCGTTCATACTTACATTATTGCCTGTGTTGTAAAGGAGAAAACATCCACTGCGATATGTATTTTTGGCTTGGCCTTCTTTGAAACACCGTTGACCCACCAATGCAGCTTGTTGGTTACCTAGAATCTGAAATATCAAAAAGAAAAGGGTTGTTGAAATTGTTTATGAATTTCATCTCTTAGTGTGGAGAGAGAGTTCGCCTGAAGGCTCAAAGGCACATAATCGGTTGCAAAAATTTACATTAGAAACTATATGAATCACTTGCAAGGCTATTGATTTTTATCAGTTAATGTAGGTTGAGGAAGGGGCCAGATTTAAAGAGATAATAAGAGGCTACAAATTTTTAATGGGTGGAAGAAACAAACTGCAGACAAAAGGCAACAGACTTCAGAAATGTTCTATACTTGTACCGTATAGATGATGATTCCATAAAACTTGTGTGAAAGTAGGTATGATTTTGGAATAAATGATGCTCAGTTGTTTCTTTATTTTGATCCTTGCTAAATACAAAGAATGATGAGCTTTGTAACAAAACTAGATGCAGAATTTTAAAAAATAGGGAAAATCAAAGATAAACAGTGAATGATTTGATAAATAAACTTACCCCAGAAATAGGAACACCATCTAACATATGACCCTTAACAAGACCATAAATTTCGGATGAGCTTCTAATTTCTGGTAAAATTTCCATGGGAATGTGAAAATGCCTGAAAAAGAAAAAAATAAGTGTTTGAGCACAACCTTAAGAAATTCGATAGGTAGAATGACTACACATATGAGAACAGTTTCAAAAGTCATGGATTTCAAAAGGACCAAGTACACACAGGATTCCAAGAAATTCGACATTGCCTAAACTTCGTTAATTTTTAATAATGTTGCCAGATGACATCACTAGGCGGAGCATTTTCTCACTTTCAAATATATTTTCCTACTTTTTTCCTGATAGGGAAAAAAGTGTACAAAATACTGCGAAATTAGCTCTTTAAGCACTTTTGGAAGAGATAGTGAAAAATTTGCCTGCAAATCCTCCATTGTTCTATGAAAATATAACAAGAGGATCCCCCCTATCAGATTTGGTGATAACAATGAGAATAGGTACCAAAGTATAACTCACTTGCACAAAAGTGGGTCCCACTGCAAAGAATCGATGTTCATCAACATGGTTCGGGAGGCATTGGTGACATCCGTTATATGGAGGCCTCCGTCTTTTCCACCGGTCAAATTCCAGATAAGCCACGAGTCGACTGTCCCGAAGAGACAGCGATGCTCGCGAATAGCTTTCCTAACTGAGGGCACATTGTCAATCAACCACTTGAGCTTCAAGGCACTGAAGTAGGGTGAGACGGGGAGACCCGACAGCGGTTTCAGGTAGTCCTTGTTGTTGTCCGGGAACTTCGCTAAGACTTCATCGACGGTGACATCAGCTCTCATATCGGACCACACTGCAAACAGACGGAGGAGAATAATTAAACACTTTATAACATTTCCTAACACGATATTTAAAATTAAAACAACATTTTATTGACGAATTCTTTTATTGTCTTAGGATAGACACACAAGTATACGGTCGGTAAAGGCCGGGTCCACACTAATTTGCGGGGAAAGCCGAGGCCAAAAAAATTCCTAAAATTTCGATTAGAATACAAAAATTTGAGCTCTAATAAGTTTGAGTTTAGAACCGAGGGGAAAGAGAGTTTAACTCAGGTGGATGCATAGGAATACAAAAAGCTCAAATGTTTTACTCTAATTGAAATTTTTTGAATTTTTTGGCCTTGCCTCCCCGCAAAATAGTGTAGACCCAGCACTATTTTATTACCTTGTTAAATGCTCTTCGCACCACATTTTGAGGTTTTTTTCGTCTTGTAAAAAATAGGTGCACAAATAATTAGAGCAAAAATTTTAAGAGAACGGGTTAGCAAGGGTATGCAATATCAGTTTCCTCTCATGTGAAAAATGTTCTGCCCATCTTGACTAAAAAGAGACCAAAAGTTTCATTTTACTTAAATGTGCATTTGGAAATTTTAAACCTTCATTGCCAAAATATATTGCTGCCTAAAATATTCAAGCTGTAAGACCATGACACGGCGATTGATGGCTCTTACCCACAAGAAAAAATTAAATTGCTCATGAGAGTGGACAGCCAGACGGTCTTCATAATTTCCCGGAGATAAATTATTCAGTATGAGGAATAATACTTACAGATGGCATTGTAAAGGGGCTCTCCAGTGATGGAATCCCAGACGATTGTTGTCTCTCGCTGGTTAGTGATACCCAGAGCAACAATGTCCTTCGAGGAGGCACCGATGGTGGCTAACTGTGGCATGGTTTCTTCAATGCACAAGTGGACTGCAGAGAGGAGCGTGTTCGGGTCTTGTTCCGCCCATCCTTCTTGGGGGGACTCTCCAGGCACATCTACTGAGTAGCTAACTACTTCCTCTTGAGTTTCAGCAGAGAACAGCTGTGAAAACAGAGGAAGCAATGTAAGAATTTTACATGGGCAAACAAAAAAAGAAGCAGTGCAATTATGGGTAAGAACTGGCCAAAAACACTTCAAAGGCTAAGAAGCCATGAAATATATTACTTAGGACAAAACATGAGAGTCACTTCCAAATTCTTAAATTTGATACGTAAATTGTCTACCTAATTGTTTGGACCTCAATACTTCGGTAGGCATACCTACGGTTGAAGTCGAAGAAGTGACATATTGAAAATCTCTACACACGTTTATGTTTTGAAGAAGAACTCATGTTGAAATTTTCTGTGAATCTTGCACTCATTCCACAAAAATCGCGAGAAATTACATGGAAATATTTAGCTTAATTTTCCTGGAAGAAAAAAAGAATTATAAAAAATTGTAAAACGTTTCACTTTAAATGCTTATTTCGCGTTTTGCCACTGAGATATGAATACATTACTTTTATCCAATATTCTTTGGATGACAAAGACTAAACCATCGTGAATTATTGCAATTACTTCAGAGAGAAGAGAGGAAGAATGAACGAAAATAATCACACTTATACTCATCTGTGATTGAAAATTGGAATTAAATCGGGTTATTTAACTACAACAGAAAAATATATATAGGTAATAAGAATAACTCACCACAAATTTTACAGTTCGAGTCCCTTCCTCGATGACTGCAATGTAAGGCCCTTTATTATTTATAATAGCAGGCATGGTGGCTGTAACAGGCAGGAAAACAAAAACGTTAGTCATGCATATATTTGTTTGCAGAGTTGCACATCGAAGAACATAATACATAGGGCCTCAAATAATGGCTGAACGGTACAACTTCAGTGCTACAACTGAGAAGACCCGCGCATCTTAAAAGGAATGAGGAAATGGGGAGCGCCTTTAGTTTTTAAATATGCAACACGCACATCCGTAGAACACGAATAGTTGCATGGAGGCGCCTTCAATTCGTTGTAGAAATCTGCAACCGAATTTCTAACATTCGGCCCTTAAATCACGCACATCGATTGCGGCGTTTCAGGATCTCCGATGTGAATTTAGTTTTGGAGAAGAAACAAATGAACATTGTTGCTTTACATGTTCACAGAATATTCTATTAACGATGAAAATAGATTGTCGGTAAAAATTTCAAGACAAATAAACGGCGTTTCTACGTTTTACTTTTTAAGTTTCACGATTTACTTCGGAAAAAAAGTAACAAGAAATCTGCAACATCACGAATCAAGATACATATCTAAGTCAATCACCGTTGAAATGCTAAATACATATTTTTCCGTGCTATGGAATAACACCGTATGAACATATGAACATTGCCCAATTTCATCCGATGAAAATTTTTAGAGGCAAATTACCTTCAGATATTTTTTATATAAATTTTCAGCAAATTTTGATTAAATGTGTACGATATTTTCTACAAAATCGTAAAAGGAATGACCACAAGTTTCTGGGAAAATTCGCTTTAAATCTGAGGAAATTTGGGAACACCCGAATGCACATAGTGCGTTTTTCCTTAGCATGGCAGAAATGATCGGTTGCAAAATAACGCAACGCAGCGGTGTTAATTCGGTTATTCATCGCTTATCACGCAGAAAGGATAAGCCCTGTTCTCAGGAGGCATGAGTATAGAAAGAGCTGTGATTATCCTCGTGATTAATCTCTCATAATTTACGAGTAAATTGTCGACAAAAACGAAACGTCAAAACAGGAGAACTAAGCAAAACAAGAGATAAGTGCTTACAAAGGTTCACCATCTAGACGTATCACTAGCGTAAATGACGACAGATTCAAAACCACATAACCGAGCAGACAATAATATGCGGTTCATCTACAGTTATAAAGGAGCGATTTTGGATTTTTTTGGCTTCGGAATGCAGCTTTGAAATTTCTTTTTAAAAGTAAAATCAGATTTACGAGAACAGTTTTCAATACCCCTCCAATTTTTACATACCAACGAATTATTTGGGGCTGGGACCACGTTACAAGAAAAATCAGGGCGCTTAAAATTGGAAAAAAAGGAAAGGGAGAAATAAAGAACAGAGGAGAAAGAAACACAACGAAGAACTTGAGCGCGTGAAGATACCAAAAAATTAATGAAAACGAAAGAAAAAACGGAGGAGAAATCAGGGATCTTAAAACATACGAGTGAGGAAAAAGGATAAAAAATTCGAACAGAAAACTACTTCACACAGGAAAATACAAAAAATCGACCAAGACGAGAAGTACAAGAAGAAAAAATCAGGGCATTTAATAATTACGCGCGGGAAAAAGGGTGAAATAACCAAACAAAAACTGCTTCACTGGTGAAAATACTCAAAAATTGGACAAAACAAGAAGTAACACGGGAAAAAAATCAGAAAACTTTAAAATTACGAGGGGGGAAAATGAGAGAGAGAGAAAACCGAGCAGAATACTTTTTCACAGTTTCTCAGTGTTTCACACAAAAAATTGTTGCCAAAATCAGAACGAGGAGTTAGAAACAGGGTAAAAGATCAGGATACTTGAAAATCACGGAAAAGGGACGCGGACTGAACCGAAAACCGTTTCACACGTGAAAATACCAAAAAATTGACAGGATTCAAATGGAAAAACAAATCAGGACAACTGAAAATTGCAGGAAAGGGCGGGAACCGAGCCAAAAATCGTTTCTCACGTAAAAATACAGATAAATTGATAGGATACAAATGGGGAAAAAATCAGGACACTTGAACATCACGGGAAAGGGACGGGGACTTAACTAAGAACCGTTTCACACGAAGAAATGCCGAAAAATTGATGTTATTCAAATAGGGAAAAAATCAGAACACTAAACATTTTTGAGGGGGAAAAGGCAGTGCAAAAAACCGAACCAAACTACTTCGCCCGCGGGAAAGCCGAGCGGTCATGACACCGGAAAAGACGGAGCACACGAATTCAGAAAGAATCGTAAAAATGTGATGCACTTACAATGCAAGAGGTAGATGTAGCGCGAGGGAGGTTGAGAAACCGGAGCGGTTGCTCGTCCCAGAGGTGGACCACGGACGCACGTCGAAACTGAAGTGAAGTGACCGGCGGCCCGCCTACCGGATTTATAGTAATTCGGGCACGTGAGTAGGTACATTCACTGATAAAAATCGCCGAAAAATGTGCGCGCCGCGCCGCGTTTGTCACCGAGGAAGTGGACTTAGGTCCGCCCGATGTTGCCACACCCGCACCCCTAATCGCGGCGAGTGTCTTCGGCGGCGGATAGACATAGTTAAGGGTGAGTACCTTTCTAAGGAGCGTATTCACTCCATGATTGGTTTCTGGTTGGCTCAGCCACCCCCCCCCCCCAAAAAAAAATTGAAAGGTGTACGCTATACGATAAGGGTCTAAATTTTCTACTGCGGGACGATTATTGAAATTGATGGACAGAGCTATAGACAAAGAAGACATAGGGAGTATGGAGCTATCCTGTTGGTTGAAATGGGTGGTTCCTATGTACTATCGGGCCTCTCGTGGGTTGCCGTTACTAAGTCTATTACCTACCTCCTTCGTCCATTGCAACCACCCGCTTCCGCCAAAAGGACCTCTCCATATCTCTTTTGTCTTCATTGTCTATAGCTTTGTCTATCAATTTCAATAATCGGCCCGCAGAGCATTCACATTTTTATAGAAAAGCACGTCTTTTAGTACCTAAATACCTTCATGTGGAATACCTTAATAGGAAGGAGAGTTCCCGGATGAAAAAAACAACGGGAAAGGAGGTGTATCGATAGGGGCTGTTTTTGGGCCCACCCTAGCTATGTATCTCAACTCGACGATTTTGTCCTAGTAAGGTCCATATCGAAGACCGAATTGCAGAAGCACGTATCTCCGTTTGCAACGTCGCAGACTTTCTGTCATAAGTTATTTTTTCATCGGAAAACCAGTCAACGACTATCACAACTACCTTGATTTTTCTTTTCTGTCGGCAGAGTATTCTGTTATAAATTTCAAACTATAAAGTTAGCTTGATGCTCTTCGAAAAAGTAAAATAAGACCGGAAATTTTGAAACACCGTACCGGAGATACGTGGTTTCGCCCTTGCGCCATCGATACTTTAAGGAATGCATGAGGATTTGGTCCATTCCGGGCTCTTTTCACTTCGAGTACCTTCATGGGGAGCGAGGTTCCCGGGTCAAAAAAGGGGTTTTAATAAGGGCCGTTTCAGGGCCCACCCTCATTTTCTGAAGGAAGAACGCCGTGCAAGCCTTCAAACGTTGTCTAATTTCTTTGGAAAAACCAACAATTTTCGGGAAACTTCGTGAATATTTTTTTTACCAATTTTTCAGAGAATTTTGTAAGTAATTTGATCTGAAATGCCTGAAATTTCCAGGACAAATATTCATAGCTTTCTTCGCGAATCATCATTTTCAGAGAAGAAATTTGACGAAATTCGAATGCTCATGCGGCGTTTTTCCTAAGCGCGAAAGAGTACTGCCGTGCTAAGGAAGAACGCCATATGAGCCTTCAGGCGTTGCCAAATATCCATTTCTAAAACACGAATTTCCTGGTAAATTTATGAATATTTTCCTTCCAATTTTTCAGATAATATTGTTTGTAATTTCACCTAAAGTTCCTGAAAATTTCGAGGAAAAATATTCATAACTTTCCTACAGAGTAACCATCTTGTTGAAGGAAATTTGGCAACTCTGGAATGTTCATACGGCGTTTTTCCTTAGCACGGCAGAATAGGGCTGCGCATTCACCACTGTTCCAGTCAGTGGCGTGGCGTGCTTTGCGATAAATCGATTGTTATGCCATTTAAACTCATGGAAAAGGATCGATAAACAGGGTGTTCACAGCGAACACCTTAATAATCGATTCTTCACCATAGGTTTAAATGGCAGAACAATCGATACATCGCAATTCACGCCACGCCACTGGTTCCAGTGCACGTTCCGATCGACCACGTGTGCGATGAGGGTCGCGGACCATTGTTTACTTCTTCGTAGGGCACTGTTTACGAAAAGCGGCAACAGCGCAGCGCTTAAAATTTAGCGCCATTAGTTGCATCATCCGTGGGCTGGCCGGAGGAGGGGGGAGACGCATCATTCGCTCTATCCTCTAATCTTCGGTACAAAATACAAGGCGGCGATTTTTGCCCCCCGACGAAACGACCGAAGAAGGAACGGGCAGTTACGGAGCTCGGCTCCTTATCGGACAGTCGCGACAATTTCGAGAATTTTTTTCACAGTAAAAACCGATGACATCTCTGACCCTGCTAGTGTCCACGAACTCTTGTGCCACATAATCCCCGCTCCAAAGCGTTGGCTTCTCATTATCTCGCTTTCTTCTTATTCGGGTAAATAGAGTTTTTATAAGCGATCCCTCGAGTCACCAACCCCACTGAAAAGCTTTAAAAAAAGGGTTAGGAACGGAGAATCGCATGCTTTCGATGTAGATTTCGGAAATCGGAACTGAGGCGGAGTGTCCTGGCGTGAAAAAATTACCTTACTTTCTAAGGTTTTCCCTAGCAGAAATTAATCAGTGAGTTCGAAAACACAACAACTCGGGGGAAAAAATTGTTCAGGAAACACCTAAAACTGCGCAGCGGGCGAAGAAGTTAGTTTAAGAAAAACCTTTTTGGTGCCAAAGGACAAGTACTTAGAGACTTTGTAAAGCACCAAGTTGAAATCGATACACCATGTTTGATGAAAGAGGATTAAGCGTTTAAAAATTTCCGAGTTGGTCTGTTTTCGTTCTTACCGACTTTCAGATACTGATTTTTCATAGTCTGCCCTGAAAAATTTATATTTTTCGACCTGAATAACACTTGAATATTTATATAACTTGTTGGTACAAGGTATACTGAACCGAAAAAAGAAAGCCGCAAAATCGGATGGTCAACCGTTTCCCTTGAAAAGGCCAAAAATTAGTATTTCCAATGAAAAACTTCGATTTTTCCCTTTTCAGATAGACTTTGCGACCGATGATAGTAAATTGGTACATAGAAAATACCTTTGTTTCTTAACTTAATAAAATTACACATAACTCAAAACGACAAGAGGGCATGCAAAAGGATTCATGGATTCTACACCAACAAAGTCAGTATTCTTTCATCTATTATTCAGTCTTTATCTTTTTTTTTTCTTTTTCGCCTTCTTTTGGTTCGTATGTTAACGTGGAGTTCAGAATTCATAAAAAGACTGCTTTTGATGGTCGATAAGTATCTTGGGTAGCCTGACTCAATCATTTCCTACCCATACGCTCAGGACGACGATTTTCGAAAATACCGATTACGAATCAGAGGAATTTTGGAAATATGTTCTGCGAAGACACTTTTCTCGGTAATTCTGAGGAATCAGCTCCGATGATTCGAAGAAACCTCTAAGGCTAATTTTTCGATTCCGGATTTAATCCGGAAAATAATATTTTCGACATTACAGGAGATCAATTACGAAACCTGAAACTTCCATCGACCAAATAATATAAAAATCAAAAACGCCTCTGGGATTGAAAATTCTAGTGTGTTCCGGAGAATCAAATGAAAGATGAGGCAATCTTCATATCCAAAACTCCGGAGAATTATATATTTTTTCTCAAGAGGTGCCTGGGCAAGTGGGAAAAAAACTTTGATTTCTCCGGAGACTGGAGTCTAGAAAATTTGAAAAGATTGGGGAAAAATCAGGGAGTTGGATGAAAGATGGAAACAATTGTCACATCCGGAACTCTGGTAAATTATATAGTGTTTCCTGGGCAAGTGGGAAAAAACTTTGATTTCCCAGGAGACTGAGGTCCAGAAAGTTAGAAAAAAGTAGGGAAAAATCAGGGATTTGGATGAAAGATGGAACAAAATTGTCAAATCCGAAACTCTAGAAAATGTTATAGTTTTTCTCAAGAAAAGCGTGGGCAAGTGGAAAAAAAACTTTGATTGTTCAGGAGAAGATGAGGTCATCACAATCATCAAAATCAGGAAATGAGCATTGTCAAGAATTCTGCCCTGCTAGGGAAGAGGGTCATTTGAACATTCAAAAGTTGCCAAATTTCCTTCAATAGAATGTGTATTTTTGAGGAAAGATATGAATATTTTCCTTGAAATTTTCAGGGACTTTAGGTGAAATTGGGAACAAAATTACCAGAAATATTGGAAGGAAAATATACATAAGTTTACCAGAAAATCCGTGTTTTATAAAAGGAAATCTGACGGTTCGAACGGCGTATTCCCTTAGCACGGCAGCATTCCAGACACCCTGCACAAACCCTGTTTTCCTCCAGACGATCGATCGCAACTGTCACGATCAAGTCACGATGCTTCCGTAAGCAACCCTAGTAGTCGAATATCCAGAGCAGGAGGAATCCCTGGCGGTGATTCTGAGAAATTGAAAGTGCTCTGAAACACGTGAGTGCCCGAGGGAGAGCGGACGACGTAACATAACGGGGAAGACCGATGGTCAGCTGGTCAGCGGCGGCGGCTGATAGCGGCGCTGAGTACTCTCAACCCAAAAATCGGGACGAACCTGGACCTGGACTCCCGATCAATGAAATTCCACGAAAACCCCGTGGGTCGGCGTCACAGGACTCAACGCGTTTTTGCGCGGGAGATGGGCTCATTTTGGTATGCAGACGGAGGGTCTAAGAAAAAAAGGGCTGCTGACAAATGAGGGTTGTTTCATTGAAACAAGTGGTCGAGAAACATGTTTTAAATGAAAGACAAAAATGTCGCCGATTAATTTTTTTTTTTTTTTTTTTTTTTTCAAGCTTAAAACATTTCTATTGTTTTTAAATTTTATTTATTTATTTATTTTTTTTTGTGTGTGGGTGCTAAGAATTTTCCCTCTTTTATACGTGGATTTTCTTTCGATTTAAGGAAAATGGAGAGCTAACAGGTGTCTGAACTTCGATGAATTTCGTGTTTAAGTGAGAAGGAAATACTGAGAGAACAGAGCACGAGGATACCTTCGGTTCATAAATTGAACGATTATTGGAGGAGATATGACAAAATGATATAGTCTGCTAAAATACATGTGCTAAAATTGGAAACTCCGCCAAATGCCGTCAATAGGCATCCTTTTTCATATTATTTTCCGCATCAGAAAAAAAAACATTAAAAATACTGCGAAATAAGCTTAATAGAGGTACTCTCAGATGAGGCAATGAAAAATGTAGGTGCAAAGTCTCCATCAACCCT